GGACTCCAGGATCATGACCTGAGCCGAAGGCAGCCGCCCAACCAACTGAGCCACCCAGGCGCCCCAACGGCTGTGTGATCTTGAGCCACTTATTAACCTTTCCAAGCCTCTGTTTCCTTCTGCATAAAGCGCAGCAACAAATAATACCTACTTTGTAGAGCTGTTCAGTATATATTTTGAGATGCTGGGTATGGCGCCTGGCACCGTGGTTCTCAATTGTTAGCGCGTACCAGAATTACCTGGAGGGCTTGTTAAAATGCAGATCGCTGGGCCCCGCGTCCAGAATTTCTGACTGGGCGGGCTTGGTTGGAGGAGGGCCCAAGGATTTACATTTCTAGCATATTAGATGCTATTTGTCCAGGGACCACATTTTGAGAACCCCTGATTCAACATCTGGCGAGCACCCAGCATTGGCTGCTACTAAAGTGGGGGTGGTGCTTGATGTTGCCAGGGGCCCACGGGCGATTTGTGCCCCAGGGGGCTGGGGGCCACACCCGGGAGGCTCGGATCCAGACCCTGGAGCCGGACAACTGGATGAAAGAGGTGATGCTGTTTGGGCACGGCACCCGGAGGCGCGTCCCCCTGGGCCAGCTGGAGCTGTGAGCATCTGAGGCGGGCCTGCACCCCCCAGAGCCCTCCCCACTTGTACACCTTTGCTTCCTGCCTTGCCCTGCCCCCTCCCTCCCCATCCTGCATGTCCTTGTATGTGTGTTAAGAACGGGGGGAGGCCCAGGTCTCCTCTCCAGGACACCCTGATGGTTGTTCTCTCAGGCTAGAGGAAGTTTTGGCCATGGGGCTACGTACAGATGTGGGGATCACTCACCAGGTAAGGGGGGATGGGGGGGCTGTGGCACACCACTTCTCCTCCTAAGTCCTGCAGAATCACTCTCCCTTCTGTGCAGGCACACGGGCACAGACACACACCTGGTTCTCTGGGGCGGGTAACTGGAGATTGGCCTTGGCCCAGCCAAGGCCTGATGGGCAGAAACAGTGGGCAGGGTCGGGCTGTGGTGAGGACCCTGGACTAGGGCCACACTAGAGCCCGCCCGTCCCCGGGCTCCAGATGTGCATGAGTCATTGCAGAGATCCCTGTGCAGATCGGACCCTCCCTTGCCCTTACCACACCCCCAGACATGGGACCAGAGTAGCCTGGCCAGCTACCTGCCATGGTCTCTGCACCCCTCACCCTTCTGGTTTCCCAGCACTGGCAGCAGTTTGAGCCCCAGCTGAGCCTCTGGGACGTGTTTAGAGCAAGCCGGGAGGTGAAGGCACAGCTGGCTCAGGGCCTGTTGCTGCTGGATCGCAGGTGTGTTGTGGGGGGCGGGGGCCTAGTGCCAGGAGGCCCAGGGAGCCCTGACTACAGATCCACAGGCCCAGGAGGGAAAAGGACCGACGAGGAGGGGCCGGTGGGTGCTGGGTGCTTCGTACCGCTGGACAGCGAGGATTGAAATTGGTAAGACGAGGCGGTCACGCCCAGGCCTCTTGGTTTTCCAGGGGTCTTCGGTGTTCCTGGGAGGGTCTGGCTGTGCTGGACTCTCTGTTGCTGACCCTCCTGCCTCGACTCCAAGAGGCCTGGCAGCAGAGAACCCCCTCCCCTGTGCAAGGAGGATGACCAGACGCTCCTGTGTCCCGGGACCATGCCAGGTGGGCTGCGGGGGCGGGACTGACGCTCTCCACTGGCAGGTGCCGTCTCAGCACCAGTCATTGCCCGGCCTTGGCATCCCCAGGGGCATGGCTACAGCGAGGGGCATGGCTACAGCGAGGCGCATGCGAGGACATTTCTGGTTTGGGAACTGGCATCAGGGCCACCCACCACCGCCAGAGAAGGAGTAATGGTTTCTGCAAGTGCCTCTCGTTAGTGGGCTCTAAAGCAAATCCTGGCTGGCAAGAGATTCTGAGAACTCTAGCTCTCAGGCTTCTAGCCCCTACGACATAGGGCAGGGACAGAGAGAGCCTGACGTGTGCTGGTGGACCCGTGCGTCCATCCAGTGCAGCGGCCTGCAGGACTCTGAGGACCGTGGGAAGGATCAGAGCAGGCCTCACTCTTTCTCTCTGGGCAACCACGTTATGTCGGGTGCCAGAGCCCCACAGACCCTCCTGCGTCCCCCGCTCCCCTCCCCTCTACGGCCCTTTCCTCGAGAGAGAGTGAGGGTGGGGGGAGCTAAGCAGAGAAAAGGGGGGAGGGGAGGAGAATTCAGGAAACACCCAGAGCCTGGTAATTTTCCCCTGGCCTTTTACCTACAGAAACGTTCGCCCGGTTTTATTTAAACAGCCGAACAAACCCAGTGAGCCCGCCTTGACCTTGGTCTTCTCTTTTGTCCAGCCTCCTTCCCTGGAGGGTAGAATCCTGATGTGGGGACCCGAGCCTTAGTGTAGGGCTGAGGGCTCCTTCCCCCACTGTACATTCCATTTTGAAAGATTTCAAGCCTACAGAAAAGTTAAAAGCATAGCTCGGTGTAAAGCACTAGCCTTCGCCGCGGGGTGTTTGTACAGTCTGGGAAGAGCAAGTATTTGCAATGTCACCGAGGACATCTTCGACCTGTAAAAAAAAGAAAATAGCCATGTTTCCAGACTTTGTGCTCAGCCTGTAGAGTTACTGATTGCTAAATTTTGGCCACATTTACTTTGCCTTTGAATAGCTAGCTAGCTCGCTTTCTTTCTTTTTCTTTGCTGCACCATTTGAAAGAAAGGTGTAGACATCAAACATTTTGGCTTGTATCTCCTAAGAAAAAGAACATTCTCCTATATAGCCACGGCACTGCTGTCAACCTGAGAAAGTGTACTTTCATGCAGTAGTGTGCAGTCCTTTCTCAAATTTCCCCAAATGTCTCCAAAACACCATAAAGTTCCTGGGCTGGGGGCGGGGGAGGGGGGGCAGGGACACAGGCGCCCGTGACGTTTTATGCTTTACTTTTGGCTATTACATCTGTTTGGTCTTTTTTTTAAAAACCCTCCTTTCTTTTTGTTTATTTTTATGACAGTGGATTTTTCAGAGCCAAGGCCACTTGTCTTACAGAATGTCCCGTATTCTGGGTGTATCTGTTTGCTAATGATTGGGTTTAGGTAAAATATTTTTGGCAAGAGTACATATAGATATCGTGTAGCTCAAGGTACATAATGCCAGGTCAGCCCACTCTCACTTGATTAAGGGGATGGATGCCCAGTCTGCCCATCATACAAGTACATTTTTTCCTTGGAGATGAATAGATTATCAGTAGGGGTGATACCGTGAGAACAAACGAATGCCCTGTTCCCTGACAGTCATTTTGCTGCAGTGTTGTTAGCATTCACTGCTGATCCTTGCCGAAAACCAGTGACTACATTGGGAGGTGCAGAATGTTCACTCCTGCCTCTAACATCCTGTCTACGTTTGTAACTGGCATTCATCCATAAAAAAAAGAGCTTTCCCTTTGTTTTTTAAAGGGCTGAAACTCTTAACCTAGAAATTGTATGCAGGGTGTGTGTGTATGTGAGAGAGACAGATGGGTGAGGGAGAGAGAGAGAAAAGAAAGGGGCATTTTCCTGTGCAGAGGTTCTGTAACTTTCTTACCTTATCGTATCAACGGGTCCTGTGATGTCAAAAGTAACTTAGTTCCGGTGCTCATCCGGGCATGCTAAGCTCAGCCTCTGGCTGGGTGACTAAGGATGGGGTTCCCTCCACCCTGCAGATGTGGGAGCACGTGCAGTCCCTGGGTGCCCAGTGGGTGTATCAGTCCTTCTTTGACCTTGTGGTAACATGGTTAGTGTTACTACCTCACCTTTATTCATGAAATATTCAACAAGCACTAATAGTGTGCTCGGCTTGGCTCAGGGCATGCAGAGATGAATGAGACCCATCCCAGCCCTCGAGGAACTCACTGCCATATTGATAGATGTGTCAAGAGATAAAGTCCCAGGTTATCGGTAAAGATGGGCGGGCAGGCTAAGGAAGCGTAAGCCGGCAGCGGCCGCGTATTTGGTTCTGAAGGGCTGGGAGCTGGCAAGGGCGTATATGGTTTTTTCCTGCCCCCTCTGGCCCTGGGGCTGCTGGAAGGGTGAGCTGTGCTACTGGGGGGGAGCCTTTCTTCCCGAGCCTTCCCCTGATCTTGATACTCAAGAAGTGAGCACGGGGCCAGGGCAGGTGCAGCATCAGATAACCTAGGTGCGCTCGGGTTTCTCCCAGCTGCCAGGGCTCGTGCCACCCGAGATGGCTGGGCCCTCCCTGCTGGGGCACCTCCCGAGGCCAGCGCAGAGGGCCTGGACGGGAGCCAGAGCCCAGTGCAGGCAGCACAGATCACCTTCGGTGACTCAGCCTCGTCCCACCCTCAGCAGCTGAATCAGAATCTCTGGGAGGTGGAGCCCAGGCAGCTAGCTTTCAAAATGCTTCCTAAGCAGCTCTAAAGAGCAGGCCAGTTTGGGAAGCCCTGACATCTGCCTTCCATCCTGAGGGGCTGAGGTCAGGAGGACCAAGGGGACAGAGCTACTTTTTGACATGACACCGTGGAGTGGGGCCCCTCCCTCTGCGTCCCGGGCCTTCCGTGGCTCATTCATCAGAGGGGTTCTTCTCACTTGTGAGGTTTTGGTTGTCATCTTTTCACCCGCCCTGCTGAAAGGACAGGAACACAAATAAAAGGGGACAAGAAGCCACTTTGGGGACAAAGTGATGAGAGGAGCTGGGGAAATGGAATATGTGAGTGTGTGGTTACAACACGAAGGACCAAGCCTTCCACGTGCAAGAACATTACAATTTTAAGCCTTAAACTGAGTCATCCCCATCCCCCACCAGGCAGTGTGAAGTAGGCAGGACAACTATTTTATTTTATTTTATTTTATTATTACCATTTTTTTAAAGTAGGCTCTACACCCAACGTGGGGCTCGACCTCAAGACCCCAACATCGAGAGCCACATGCTCTGCTGACTGAGCCAGCCACGTGCCCCTGGGGCAGCTATTTTAATTTCCATTTTACACTTGGGGACATGGAGATTCTTTTTTTTTTTTTTAAAGATTTTTTATTTATTTATCT